GCTGGGTCAGGGGGCTGCATCCCGCTTGGGGGTCCGGTGGCACCCACCTTCCTCTTTGCCATCACCAGCATCATCATCGTCACTGTCACCGCCAGCATCCCTGTCTCGTTGGCATCACCGTCCCCATTCCTGGCACTGGCACTGTCCCCACTACTGCCACCAGCCCTGTCACTATCCCCATCCCTGTCCTCATCCCCATCACCTCCACCGCCATCTGCATCCCCATCATCATCCCTGTCCCCATCCCCAACTTCAACCCCATCGTCCCTGTCCCCATCCCCTTCCCTGTCCCCATTCTTGTCCCCGTCCCCCTCATAATCTCCATCCCTGTCCCCCTCCTTGTGTCCGGCCCCCTTTTTTGTCCCCATCCCCATCCCCATCATCGTCCCCTTCCCTGTCCCCATCACTGTCCCCATCCCTGTCCCCAACTTCAACCCCACCATCTGTTCCCACCTTTGTCCCCATGCCCGTGCCATCCCCAACCTCAAGCCCACCATATTTGTCCCCATCCCTGTCCCTGTCCCCACCCCATCATCACTCTCCATCTCCGTCCCCAAGGCCACTCCAGGTCAACCCCCTGCCCAGCAGCACCCAAACCCCGCACCCAGGGAGATGGGTGCTCCCCGAGCATCCCCAAATTCCCCGACGGCACCCGGCTTTCCCCGCTGGAGCCGCCTTTCCACCGCCACCTCTTCCCACCCGCGCGGCGGGGGGGAAACAGCTCTGCTCCAGAAACCCCTGCTCCAGCTTCCAGGAGAAACCTCATCCACTCCGCTGGGATTTTTAGAAGAGAAAACGATCCCTTTCCCTTTCTTTTTTTTTTTCAGGACCTCCAGATCCATTGCTGCCTGCTCTGGAGGGGGGGGTTTTGGGGGAGCTGAGCGGAAAGGGTTTTCAGGATGATTCGCGCATCAAGGATCTGCAAAAATTAGCCCCAAAACTAGGATGCAAAACACCCAGAGGATCATCCTGGTACCAGTAAACCCCCCAAAATGCACAAAAACTGGGGGGTTGGCAGCAGTTTCAACGCAAGAGTCGATGGCACCCCATTTTTGCCGGCGGCACACGGTCCCCCCCGTCCCCAAAATCCACTCCGGCCGTGGCCCCCCCCGGTCCTGGCAGAGCCACCGAGTGCCGGCGTCTCCCGCAGGCTGCGGCTGCGGAGGAGGGACGCGAAATGCCAGAACATTTCTAATCATTAACGGCGGGTTTTGAGCCCGTTCCAGGCTCTGCGTTTTTCATCCCTGGGCCCCTTCATCTGAGAAAACAACCCACCCTGGGGAAGGAATATTGGGGTGATGCTTTTCCGGGTGCTTCAGCATCTCCTAAATCTGAATCCCGATAAAATAACTTGTATTTTGGAA